GTGATTATGATATTACATGGGTTTAGTTGACTGGCTTCAATTCTAGTCCACTCCTGGGTTTGGAATAGTGGACTGTTTGTGTTTTGTCTCCAATTACAATCTCCATTATCCTTGTTTCTATTGTTGATTGTTCCAGTCCATGGGGCTTTCTCAGGCAGGGGCCACTGTTGGCAGACAAGCCATATCCTTGGCAGGCCAGCCCTAGAGTGTTGTCTTTATGCTTTCTGGGACAGCCCAGGGTTTCACCTGTAGTAGAATTCGGATGGAAAGGGGGATACTGATTGGAAGCTCTAAACAGTTATGGCCCATCTGACTATTGGAGGTAGGGGTGAGTGTAATTGTCTGCCCTATAGTCTGGGTGTTTCCAAGGCAATAGCAGAGTGTGCTGCCCAGCAAATTCAGACAGCAGTAGAACTGCTGGGCAGAAAGCTCTAGCAGGTTTGGCTTACCGGGCTATCAGCAGCAGCAATTCTGGGGGACACCTGCCCTCCTGTATGGGTGCTTCCTGGGACAACAAGAGGCTGTACCTACTGCCTGAATTCCCACAGAAGCAGGACCGGTGGGTCAGAATCTCTAACAGGTATTGCCCACCTGCCTACTAGTGATGAAGGTGAGCATCCTCATATGCTCTTTCACCTAGGTGTTTCCTGGACTAATGGAATGCTGCATGCTCTAACTGAGTACACACAGATGCAGGGATACTGGGTCAGAAGTTCTAGAGGCATTGCTCACCTGGCTATAATTGATGTGGTTTAGTGAGGTAACATGCCCTGTCATCTGGGTGTTTCCTGGGACATGAGGAGACTATGCACTCCAGCTCAGTTTACACTAAAATGTGACCAGTGGGTTGGAATCTTGAGTAAGCGTTGCTCACTTGATTACTAGTAGTTGGGTTGGTGGAGTAGCCAGCCAAGTTTGGGCCAAAGCAGGACAGCTGGGCTGGAAAATGGTGCTAAGCCCCTTCTAGCAAAGGGACTAATCTTACTGCTCCCAGGCACCACAACTGTGTCTTCTATTTTACCTGTGACATCATTGCTGGTCTTCTCTTGGGCTCAAAGCTTATAAGATCTCCTTGTAAGTTCACCTGGAAAAATGTTTGGGTGGCTCTCTGCCTCAAACAGGAAGCACACTGCAGGAGTGCTGGGGAGGGGGAAAGGGAGATTTCCACATTCCTATTTTTGTACAGGTCCCTATGCAGAGCATGAATCCCCCTCGGAGCTGTCACTCACTCTTCCTTTCTCATGTTGCAGAGGTTTTCCTTGCTCTGCTCTAAGCCTAGACAGGTCAGTGCCCAGCTTGGCTCCTCTCTGCTCTCTGTATTCCCCTGCTGCTTTGATGGATCCTGACATGGTTTCTCAAATGATTCACTTGCAAGGTCAGGGTTCACTAACCCTTTTGTTTCCCGTTCCTGAGGGCAACACACATGAGCTGCTTGTAGTTCATCATCTTGACCCTGCCCTTGAATGAAATCCTTATCTCATTCTCATCTATTCCACAAATTAGGTCATCTCAAAAAGAAAGCATGTGTCACTTATGGTGTAATTAATGTGATCTATAAAGCTCTTTATCATAGGTCTGTATGGTGTGAGTTCCCATATTTGCTCATCAGCCTAATGATATCATTCATATAAAGGTCAAAGGTGCAGCTATGGAGATGAATGTAAACACAATGACAAGAGTGAATTTTTTAAATATCTTAAAAGCAGTCACTAATAAACCTCCAGATAAGTACCACTGTTTATAAAGTCTAACCTATGATACAGGATATTTTCTTGACCCCTTTGTGGGACTCATGACAGTGGTGTCTCATTTACTCATCCTGTCCTTGTACCCCTTGCAGGAGGGAGTGTGCAAGCAAACAAGTGCAGGAACTGGGCGTGAGCAAGTGCAGGAACTGGACAACCACCTTCGGACACTGACCGGAACAAACTCCATTTACTCAGCTTGCCTGGCTCAACCCATTGTGGGAAGGAGCACCTAGACAAGCGAGTATGTGGTCTGGCCAGCTGCTTTTGAGCAGTAGCATGAGCAAACTCTGTGCGGGCCCCATGGCAGCATCCAGGTAGAGATGCCTGTGACTCCCTGAAGCTCCAGAAGGTGTGTTACAGTGCTCTTTCAGCTCAACCATCTGTGGACGGCTTAGGTGTTAACAGCTAAGTGAGTCCTTTGCCTCATCATGTGGGGCAGCTGCCCTCCACCAGCAAGAGCAAAGGGCCAGTGTGACAACCTTTTTTGGGGGGGTTATCCACATTAATGGATTAGTACTACCTATGGATTTTTAAATAAAAATTTAAACATATTTTATTTAATTTAGCTGAAAGATATTGAAATGGAACTCTAATCTCTACTGAATTTTAGATATATATCTTTATATATATTTTTTTCTCTGATACATGTCTCTAAGATTAAGAAATAGTATGATATATGTACACATAGTTTTAGTCATTATGTTTAACCATGCATTTTAGTTTTAGCTATTAGTTAAACTTCTGCTATGGAAGTAATTTCATCCCCAATTTATATGATTTACATCATAATTATAACTTGTCAATAGTTCTGACATTTATTTTCTTCACATTTCTTTGGTCTTTTTGCTATATTTGAAGGAATTCAATGTACACCATTGAATCAGAGATTATTCCAGAATGTTTTTAATTTTTCTGGTTTGAATATGTCATACAGAATTTGCTTTCAATAAAGACTCATGGATATTAATTCTCTGAGATCAAGTTTTGTAATATTCACTCATTGTCTTTATGTGAGAATGAACAAAATCTAAATCTTAGTATCATGTACTTAGCTCTCACTTTCTTCCTTCAGAACTGTGGAAATCATTTTCAGTCTTCTAGCTTTAAATGTTACTAAAGAACTTTTGAGGTCTATCAAATTATTTCCTTTTTTAAAAAGTTTCCATTTTGACTAGAAAAAAATCATTATATTTTTAACTCAGAAGCTTAATTTTAATATATTTTTATAAATTGTATACATTTTCCCAGCTAATAGTGTGTCTTTATAACACAGCTATTCCAAGATTTAAAGTATTCATTTTTTATTTTAGAAATTAATTTTTGTTTGATTATTAGGATAACTTTCAGTTCCATTTTTTCTCTACTTTTGGGACATCCAATTTCAGTTGTCACTACTTTAAAATATTTTGATCATCCTCATTCTGTATTATTTTCTAATTGTTTTAATTAATTTTTACTATTCTTAGCTCATTGAGATTGCCTTAAATAATTTTAATTAGTAAATTAACTTTAATGTCATAAGCATTGCTTTCTGTTTCTAATTTATTTATCCATTCTTTCAGGTGTTATTTCTCAAAAATTAATTTAACATCTCACCTATCTCTTTTATCATTTTGTTTCATAATTGGATTTTTGATCTAGTATTTATTACCCACACATTCTTATTTTATTTCAAATATTCTCTTTTGGGGATTCTCATATTGTCTCAACCTGTTTCTGCTGCTGTAAAAAAAAATGACAAAGATTCATCAATCTATAAAGAAGTGAAATTTATTTTCACACATTTCTGGAAGCTAGAAAGTCCTAGATCAAGACACCGGGAGTTTCGGCATTGGCTGAAGGCCATAGAGGGTGCCTTCCTGTTGTTCTCACAGTGCAGAAAAGATGGAAGATAAATAGTGGGCCAATGTTGTGTTCTTATATGGCAAAGAGTGGAAGAGAAGAAGTCCCTTCTTCCAAGCCCTTTTATAGGGCTCCTAATTTCATTCATGAAGGTTCTGTCCTCATGACCTCATCACCTCTTAAAGGCCCATCTCTTAATAGTAAGACATTGGCAATTAAGTTTCAATATATGAATTTTGGAGGGCACATTCAGACCATAGCATATGTTATGCTTGATTGTCTTCATCTGTCATTTAGAAAAAAATTTAATATTGTGCAAATGGTTATCAGCTCGTGATTTTTTTTTTTCATGTTTTCTCAGTATTTGCTCTGAATTTGAATAAGTGCCTTAAGCTTGTTTCTGGGCTATCTGAGACAATTATTTTATTTAGTGTCCAAACTTGAAAGATAGGTATAATACTCCATTTATTTTTGAAGCCTGGCATTTGAGAAGAAGGGGAGAAGGCAAACTCAAAAGGAATTCTGTGCAGCGTGTATTTTTAGTGGAAGTAGTCTACATAAAACTATCTTTTCAAAGCCCTTGTACCATGATTTCTGGACAAAGGGAATAATATGTTCATTTCCAAATAGGAATACTCTCAACACTTGGCTTAAATTCAATCCTAAAGAGTCAGACTTGGTTGTCTCTTTTCCCTTCTCAATTATTCCAGTCAATTGACTTTTAAAAATATATGCATGGATAATAACAGTATACTGGATTGTATTGAAATTGTCAGCTTAGGAGCTAGATAGGTGCTTAGGAACTTCAGGGAAGTGTGTTAACCAAACACCATGAGATATGTGGAAGAAGAAAAAGGAGAGATTTATTTGTTACAAAGGGTTACAATCTGCAGGCTAGGAAACAGAGTCTCCAGATAATACCAAAAGCGTATGATTCAGAGATAAAAAATAGAGGCTGGGCTTTATGCCTAACAGGACCCAACCAGTTATGCATACATATTCAGTAGGATACATAATAATCCCAGGAATATTAATGAAGAAGACCAAACATATGCATAGTGAACAAATATATATGTTCATCCCATGCCCACTTTGGCAAGGAGACTTAACATTAACATGAACTAAAACTTGTTTCTTTACATCAAAAAGTCAATCAGAGGGCATAAAAGCGCCTTATGCACAGTCATCGTGGGCTGGTCAGAATCAGTCTGTGGTCAGTCTTTATTGCTTAGGAAAGAATGCTTTGTAAGTCCAGTCAGCTGTCCTAGAGAAGCCACAGTAAGGGAAGGTCTAGTCATGACGTTAGACAGTCTGTCAACATTGGTGGAAAAATCTTTCAATCATTTTTTTTTTTTTTCAGGAACTGGTGTCTGTTGAATTATTAGAACATAAAGTCCTGTGACAGTTATAGGGAAGGGGGGCAATGAGGGGTGACTAATTTCCTGCCTTGCCAAAACCACTGAATCTGCCTGGGGTCTCCTTTCTGGTGAGTTTGTTTTGTTTTGCTTGAAAGCTTAGGGGCTTTATTTTATTCACAGGTATATCCCCGTAATAATTCAGCTTTAGGATGTTACTATTCCCAGTAATGTTGACAGAGCTAAGAAAATAAACTAGAAACTATGACTTATCAAGAGAAGAAACTCTCCATTAACCCTAGGTTGGAAAGGAAAAGTAAAAGAAGTGACATTTTAGAGTTCCTTAAGAAATGGAACTGTGGAAACAAGATAATATGGTAAGAGATGGGGTTGCAGAGAGACACAGCCACTGAAAACAAGGTGAGGCCAAGGTAGAGAAAGATCAGGTAAGATAGGAGCTGCTTTCTCTCCTCCTTCTCTTTGATGTTCTGCAGTTATCTCTCCTTATCTGAATATCATTAGAAGACCAGCTGGCAAAAGTTTCTGGGTAATGCAAACTGGATTAGTCAGTGTAACTGCAGGATATACATGGATACACACACACACACGCGCGCGCGCACACACACACACACACACAGAGAGAGAGAGAGAAAGAGAGAGAGAGAGAGAGAGAGAGAGAGAGAGAGAATCAACTTTCCCTGACAGCTGTTAACAAAACTGTTCAGATGAGTCAAATGTGGAAAATCTCATCCCTCACAAAGCAGACACCAGGTCACATCAGCGAGAGTGCTTTTGCACAGCTCTTATAAGATCACCCCTTAGAGTTAACCAGGAGACTGTAGTTGGTTGTTTAACTTATTTTGTTTGTAAATATTGCATGTGTCCCTTATTCTCTGGCAGCACTTCCTTTGGTCAAAGTTCTTTAGCTGGTAGAATTATCCCAAATTTCATCATTTTCAAACCAATGTAATAATATGTTTTGTCTTAATGATTTGCCATTACTTTTCACTGATTTTTATTACTGAATACCAAGGTATTAAGATATGTTATTGTAAAATGCAGATATTAGATATAATTTAGACTATACTTAACATATTTTAGCATCCTAGTTTATCTTTGGTATTTTGGATCAATAACCACAGCCAGGAGAGTAATACCTTCTCTGGCCAAAATCAAAAACACAGTAGTTCAGAATAATCAAGCAGTACTCTCAGCTTCCAATCTAAGTAAACTGTGGCCAAATCCCTAGGTAATATGAATTCTATATTCCCATATTTGGATCCCATATTCCTCTGTTGTGATTGACAACCTTCAAATTGCCTCAAGGTTGCAATAATAAAAAAAGTAGTCTATGAAAAATAATAGTGCATACTTTTGAGAGAATCCATTCCCTTTTTAAATTCCTTGAATTCTACACCCATGTACTTAAACTAAAATATGGAAAATGTCAGCTATCAGATTCTAATTTAAAACACATACTGCATTTTTAAGACCACAAAATCAGTTTTTTCTCTCAGGTAAGAATTTCAGGATCTTCATTAGATAATGGGAGTTTTATAAAATCAGCACATTTCACAGACATTAGAACTTGTTGCATTTCCTTCGCTGTGAATATATTTCCTATTCATACTCAATGTTGAGATTAATATCATGATTTGATTATGGGTCCTTCATGTTCACAGATTTTGATGGCACCAGAAATAACAAAGAGAAGATGTGGAAAATGCTGTGTTTTTTTTTTTTTAAGCATATGTACTATGAAATAAAGAATGCATGCTGTATGATGAAAGGTGATGTACGTGATGTACCTGTGTCTGGCTAGAATCTTAGGGAATGATGCCATGCTGAGGAGGGATCAGGTTGACATCTGCTATTAACATTTTGAGCATATAGCAACTGTAGTAGCCAGATCAGCCTTGGTGGGATAAAGTCCACGTCATAAACTTATATATAGTCCCTGTCCTAGACAGCATTGCTCCTTTTTAAAAATAAATTTTACGATCAAATTCTGGAGGTCTGAAGGAAAAGACTGAGTTCCATGGGACTACTTATTCAATCCACCTTATTGCTGAGGCAGTTTCTAGAGTGCATGCCTTCTAAGTGATTTCTGCCAATTACAAGAGGTAAACCCACATAAGTCTACCTCAAATATTCTTTCCATTAACTTTTCACTGAGATTATTTCCATATCCTTAAAAGCTAGTCAGTTCATTAGGTACTACCTGTGATTCTGTAGAGCTGTAACACGGGCCATTCTCTGCTCCTCCCCCTCCCAAAAAATAGTTATTTAGATGTCCTGCTTGATATTCTGCCCATTAGAAGGATTTTGCTTAAAGATTTTTTAAGAGACACTCCTGAGTGGGACTGTAACCCTGTATTTTGTTCTATTAAATTAGAAATTACCCCATAAATCTCTAGGCAGGCTTATTGAGATTGGTTTAAAAACATTATTCAGTTCCATGAGAGCCTTATCCATTTGCTAAAGTGATTTAATTGTTTTTCTGAAATTTTCTCAGTCCTTTTCTTATATTTGTATGTCCATTAAGAGTAGAATACTGCTGTTAATGTTCAGTTATATTTTTGTTGTTCTCACAACAGAACAGCCATCTCAGGTAGGATAGGTTCTTGGTGCCCATGGACAAATATTAATAGTAAGTATCCACCACAACTCAAGAGTAAATCAGAGACTGTTTTTCTAATGGAGAAGATATTTCAGGAAAATGGGTGAGAGTTTTGCTCCAAAATGCTGAGATTCTCTTACTATATTTTGTTAAAGATTTATTTAACTTTGGCATCTACGACAGACAAAGGAAGAAAACGTGAAATTTCTGAGTTATAAGATGAATGTCACAAGGTGTCTATAGGCAACATAATCATCTATCTATGTATATGTGTATTCATGTAGCTATCTATCTATCTATCCATTTATCTATCATCTATCTGTCTGTCTATCTACCTATCTACTATCTAGTCTATCTCTCTATTTCTCTATCCATCTATCATCTATCTATCTGTCTGTCTATATATCTATCTAATCTCACACACACATGTTCAATGCATGTATAAGATATATAGGATATATAGGTGTGTACACATAGGATATCTACTTTATATATTCAAAAAAGATGAAGCAGTATCATCATAGGCTGTTCATACATTTTATTCTGAAAAGTAATGTGAGCAATTAGGCAATGCCATAGTTACCTGTAAGTTGAAACATTCTACAGTTTTGGTCCTGTAGCTGGATTTGGTACTTTTCCAAATCAAGTATTTTGTAGTTAATATAACCCAACCAGCCTCTACCATCATTGGTGTCTATTATTTCCACTGAAATTGTAGATCCCAATTTTATTGCGGCATCTTTCACTTTCATCTCTACCCTACAGAAGAAAAACACAATGTAGATTTTCAAGGCTATTGATAGGTTTAGCACGAATATATTTTTTAATGCCACTGAGATGGTGAAATGGATTCTGAACATATTGCACATAATATATCTCCTCTAACATTCCCATTTCCCTCAACCTATAGGTGATTTTCATATAGAATATCAATAATGTTATCAAATTTGAACTTTATTTACTATAAGTCATGTTAAATCCAGGCTTTAATTATTCAACCAAATGCCTGATAATGACATAATTAACTATTTGGACCAACACATTAACCTCAAAGTAGTGGATACATGCATCTTTATAAAAAGTTGGCCTGATAAAATATTATTTTAATAGTTTTTATTTAAGATGAAAAATGAGCCTCTTGTTCAGTCCATCAAAGTGATAAAATTGTGCCTCGTGTTGCTGTATATGTGAGTGGACTTTGCAATTCTCTTCTTGAAATGAAGCATTGAGAAGTGTAGAGATGGATCTTATGGAAACTGTAGATTCCCTTGCTAGAACATTATTCCATGCTAAGTTCTTACAAAGTCTTACACAACACAAAATTAGTGTTTTCAGATAGACAAGGAGGGTATCATTGAGCCCATAAAAGAAGTTCAAGGAGTTTTAGGAGTATAGGTTTCTAAGTTGTCTGTGTCTGCTGAAATATCCCTCTCTAAATCTCAGGGTCCCCCTCATTTCTACTCAGTTTTCTGATATAACATGAGGCAAATTAGAGACATCTATGAGCTTGTACGTTGGAAAGTCATTTCAATTCACCACTGCAATTAGATTTGGGGCCTGATAGTCATGATTTCAATTTGGCTACAAGATATTGGATATTATTTACAACTTCCTTCCATAGAGATTGTTTTCTCTTCTTTCAGGAGTTATAAATTCAAAGCCCTGAACTAATCTTTCCTTTTCTATCTATGTATTTTCCCACTTAGAAACACTCATTCCGTGTGGATCTTTGATCAGCATTATAACAAGCAAGTTTCAAATTTGATCTCACAAAACTTGCCCTTAATAAACATGTTAGAATATATTGCAAACAGTGTTAATTTGAAGAGTCATGAATACTGTTGCATAAGACACATAACCAGTGTTCTAATTTTTCACAAAAAACATCTGTGTATCAGTTAAGGATGAGAACAACCTCAGAGTCAGACAAGATTTGAGCCATTTGAAACCTTGTGAGCTTTCCCAGTCTCTGATAACCAGCCAATAATTAAATGTTGATCTTTAAGTCTTCTAGAGTCTAGGTAGCCTAAATAAAAACAGTCTCAAACATGAGAAGTCCCAGTATTTACATGATAAAAAATATTTTCTATCAATCTCTGTATGTCATTTTGCAATGTCTTCATAATATGCTCTATTAGATGACACAGCTGGGCAAATAACCTACACTCACCAAATTTATAGATTTTTTGCATTCATTGATGTGATCCTGAGCATGAAAAGAATCAAGAAAAAATATTCCATACACTGGTTATACCTGAGAGGCATCTGAGCTGAACTTTATAGGCTACAACTTGAAAATACTGAAATAAACTAAGTTTTGCAACAACTTCTTTTAAAGCCATTGAACATAAGCATTCAAAATTTGTTTGTATAATTCCCATAATTTTCTTCCCAAATTTAACCACTCTGTTCATCTTGTCACTTTTTTATTTAGGTATACATCAATCAATAAAATAAAGATAGAGAAGGTAGGGACTGATCTCATCTGTCTCCACATTCTTTGTACCTAGTGATCATCTGGGCACAAAGAACAAATTTGATACATATTGACTGAACGAATGAATAAATAAACACATTTACCTTTACTAGATAGAAATAGACTGTCATACCTGCTAAAGAGGAGAGAACAAGTAAAAAACATGAGAAAATGGTGAGGCTATGGTGAGCCAAAAATCAAAATAAGAATTTTATTAGATAGAGTAAAATAGTATTGAATTCTAGATTGTGTCAATAAAATGACTGAAAAGTTTTTTGAAATCTGACTTGAAGACGTTTTTTACTTATTCTGGCATGTTTGCAGTTTCAATGAAATGGCAGCAACACAAAATGAATTACACAATAGAAAGTAAGGAAAGAAGATGAAATACATAGACACCTCCCATAAAAGTAAATTGTGAATGGAAAATAAAAGGAAGTAACATGAACCTTGAATGGTTCTAAGATCCATGAAACTTAAAGATATGCCATCAAAATCAATACCAACCAGAAGACATAGCATCAAGATGTGGCATCAAGATCAGGACCCAGTATGTTGTAGTATCGTTTTATGTTAAATGCTTGATGTTATTCTAAGTGCAATGTATTAACTCAATACATTCTTAAACACCATTAAAAATCATATTAGTTTTAGACAAATTTTACCAATAAGAGAGTGGAAACAAGTAGATCATATAATTTTACTATGTTTGTTGGTAGTGATTGGGGAACAATTTACCTTAAACTGATGGAGCCGAGAGTCAGTACTATTGAAAATAAATTATCTACTTCTGATTTTAAATGTGAAAGAATTATTATGGAAGGGAAGTTATGGATACAGAAAAAAGGCAGGAGGGTTACGAGGTAAGGTGAATATCTCCAAAAGACTGGCCTTAATAGAAGTGAAACTCGACACAGAAATTCATTTAATGGAAGGGAGGAGTAGAAAAGGATGATTATACTTGTAGGTAAGATTGTAGCAGTTAGGTTAGAAGTAAGCAGTTTGATTCCTTATAAAGATAAGGAAGATTCTTATGTGTTTCATGTTTTCTTCGAGTTCTATGCAGGTGTTAGTGTTTTAAACTCAAGCTATGTACTACCTATGCTCTTACCTATATTAGGGAATGTATTATTCATCTTATCTATCATTACATTCCACCTGAAAGCACTACTAAAAAATTCACAGCCTTCTTGTGTACTCTGCTTCTCTTCTTTGCCCTGCAGTCACCTCCTCTCTTGTTTTACTGAGTATGTCAAAGTTTTGTAAATCATTCCATATTTCACCTTCCCCAAAAAGGACTGTACTCCTCTTTTTCCATATACAGCTATTCTCACATGGTGGTGGGAAATAGTAAATGTGTAGGGGCTCCACAAACAGTAGCATTATTTTAGATTTCCAGCTCCATATATAAGAACCAAATATTCATGAAAGTAAAGAAATACTTTTCACATGATGTTGTCTCTCATCTTATCCTCAAAATATGAATGTAATATCATATTCCCTTCTGTGAAAATCTTGATGTTTCTTGTTAAAAATTAACACTAAGTTTTAAAAGCCCTAGCACTTTAACTTTTTATCTTTCTAATTACATTATCTTCTATGTGTTTCTCTAGTTATAACTGTTGTTCCTACCAGTTAGTTGTTGGAAAAGTAAATGAAATATTTACACAGACCGTGGAATGACAAATACTAC